TAACTTAAATATTCCATGTGGCATATGCTAATGCGCATGGTAAGAATTGGGATATGTTTTATAAACAATGTGACATATTCATATTTCATGCACTGAGAATATCATGGACTTTAAAACAACATAATAAAATAAAGCTAAGTAATTTTCGTACAAAAACACTTCTGAAATATAAGGACTGAAAGTGGTGCAACCAAAAGTAATAAGATTATTCCAAAAAATGTGATGAAAACAGTCTTACAACTTGAAAACTGAGGAAAGCATGTTCCGTGATGAAGTGCTGCGCCACTCGTTGTTGTTGCATCACTGAAATAAATTTTGCACATCCTTCCGTAGTTTTCTGCATGGTTTTTCGCAATTTTTAGGCAAAAATCAAAAATCTGACCCAAAGAAAAAATTTTTTTTTCCACGAAATCACCTTCCTCTGCCCTTCATTCGTTAAGATGGAATATGCAAGAACACTGAGTACCAAATTCTAAGCGATAACTCAGAAACAGCTTTCAATATGGACTCAATGCGCAACAGAGTCAACAAAAATCATGGGCCAGTTTTCAACGAAAAATTATTGAAAAATAGTAAAAAAAATGCATTATCAAGCTTAAATACCGTAAATTTTTACCCTCAAAAATTACTCAGGTCGGGTGGCTGGAAAAGGGAGAAGGAGCGGAAGGGCAAGAGTATGGAGAGGAGGGAAAAATGAGAAAAAATTGCCATGGACAACGCACAATTCAGTGCTATCGAAAAGCAAAATCCACTTTTTTTAGCTGCATTTTGAGTTCAGGTGATTTTCTTAGCACTCAAGAATCAGCTATAGGCTGCTAAATTCATGGAAGAAAAAAGCGAAAAAAAAAGATAATAAACAAAAATTCTTAAAAAATATGAAAAAAAAAATTTTCAAAAATATAATGAAACTCATGGGGAAAAATTTTATCAGAAAATTTACAGTGAATTCACAGTACTGGAGGAAATTCACAGTATTGTAACAGCGTTTCCTTTTTTTTCGAATCTCACAATGTGCGGAAGTACTGTGTAGCCTCGGAACGTGGCCTTTCGACAGCTAGAGGTACTTGAAAGTCAGCTTTTTTTAAAGCAATATGTGAATTTTTTATTAATTTTTATAAAGTAAGGTATCAAAAAGATGCAAAAAACCTGCTGACCAGC